GGAGAGGGGGCGCGAGCTCGCTCGCGGCCGGCCTCGCCGACGCGGCGCTCGGCGGCGCGGGGCGGGGCCGTCTCGGGGGAGAGGGGAGGGGGAGAGCTTGCCTTCGGGGTGGGAGCGCGCGCGCCTACCGTCGTCGCGGCAGCCGCGGTAGTCGCGATCTTCGGCATCGTCGGCTCAGGTGCCGACCCTGAGCTCGAAGGACCACGTGCATCCGTCGACCTGCGCGAAGGACAGCTCCCGCGCGCCCGCGGCGAGCTGCGACGTCGGGACGAGTTCCAGCGTCGACTCCGTGGCGTCCTTGGGCGGCTTCGTGCAGCTGCAGCCGTCGCAGTCGCACCCGAACTGCCAGTCGAGGCTATTGCACGTGTGCGAGGATCCTTCGAGGCCAGTCCAATAATCGCACCAGTAGCCAAAGCAACTTTCCAGGTGCTCGCAGGTCGTGCAAAGGTCGCCGCCCGTGTAATGCTGGACCTTCTTCTTGTTGGCGCTCGAAGCATCGTAGGTGCCGTAGTCGACCGTGTTCGCCTGGCCGTCGCAGTCGCCCGGCGAGTAGCCGACGTAGTGCCCGACCTTGACCTCGACGCAGCTGGACCCGGTCTCCAGGCGGACGATCTCGCCCTCGTAGCTCGCGAGATCCTCCGCGTCCAGCGGCGCCGTCGTCGTCGCCGCCGTCGCCGTCGGCGCGGGCGTCGAGGGCACGGTCGGCGCGGGCGAATTCGGCGTCGCCGTGGGCGCGGGCGTCGGCGCGGGCGTCGGCCGCGGCGCGTGCTCGTAGACGCGGATGCTACCGGAGTCCGTGGCGTAGAACGCGCCCGCGGCGACGACGGAGGCGTCCGCGTTGATCTCGACGCCTCGGAGGCCTCCCGCCGACAAGGAGCCCTTGGCGACCCCGTTGATGTCGGCGCCGTCCTGCGTCCAGGCGTGCCCGTCCCAGTGGAAGAGGCGGACGACGCCCTTCTGGTCGGACAGCTCCCGCGGCGCGGAGAACGCGACGACGCTCCCGTCGTCGCTCAGCGCGACGTCCTCGCCGAACTTCGTGCCCCCCTCGTCGGCCTCGAGGACCGGCTGCGGCGACCAGGCGCCGTCGACGAGGTCGTAGACCTCGACGCGGCCCTTCATCGTCGTCCACGCGTGGTTTTCGTAGCCGTTGCTCCCGACCGCGATCGCCCGCCCGTCGGCGCTCGCCGCGACCGACTGCGGGACGAGCTCGTTCCCGCCCGCGAGCGCCGTCTCGACGTCGCCGCCGACCTGGACCCACGAGCCCTCGAAGGGGTCGTCCGCCGTCGGCGTCCAGCGGTACGCGCGCGCCCGACACTCCTCGGCCCCGGCGGCGGCGTACCAGTTGTCAAAGTGGGGCGAGTAGTAGGAGCCGAGGACGAGCGTCGAACCGTCCGCGCTCAGGTCCATGCAAGTCCACCGGTGGGACCCGGCGTCGGGCCAGGGCGCGAGGCTGCGCCAGGACGCGCCGTCCCAGGCCGCGGCGGCCGCCCGGTCGGTGAGCAGCGCCGCGACGACGCCGCCGTCGGCCGACAGCGCGACGGCCTTCGGGTATAGGAAGGCTCCGCCCTCGAGGGCCACGCTCGTCTCGAACGCGCCGCCGGCGGGACGCCGGTGGACGACGACCCTGCCGGACCAGTCCTTCGACGCGCTCCCCGCGACGACCAAGCCGTCGCGCGAGATATCCGCTTCTCTCCCGCAGTTGTAAGCGCCGCAGTCGGCGAGCTGCGGAGACGTCCAACTCCCGTCCTCCCGGCGCTCGCGGACGCGCAACGGATTGCCTCCGCTCAGTCCGTAGACGACCGCGCGCCCGTCGCCCGAGACGGCGAAGGAGCCCTCGAGCCCGGCCGCGTCGTCGTACCCCGCTCCCAGGAACGTGCCCGCGTGCGTCCAGGAGACGGCGCCGCGCGTCGTCGTCGTCGTCGTCGGCGCGGGCGTCGGCGCGGGCGTCGGCGAGAGGTCGCAATTCGGGTTGCACTGGGGTACGTCGCAGTAGTCCCAGGATTGGCCGGTGGCGGCCGGATCGGCATCCGCGTTGAAACACCACGCCCCCCCGCTTTTGCCGTCCGGGTTGCGGCAGAAGTTGTGGTCGCCGAGGCCCGCGTTCGGGTAAGGGTTCCCCCCCCCGCACGCGAAACACATGTCGTTGGAGGAGAAGTCGTCGTCGTCGAACAAGCCGCACCAACTTGGGTTGCCCTGGTACACGGCGCAACCGTCGCCGTCTTGGTCCGTCGCGCCGTAATCCGTGTCGAGATATGTGTGCGCGTTGGGTTGCTGCGACGTCCAGTACTGGCACGGCCGGCCCGTCCTATCCTCTGCGACGAAGCCCCGGTGTCGCTGTCGTCAGGATCATGGGCGCAGGGAATCGTGCAATCCTCGGGCGTCGGCGCGGGCGAGGTCGGCGCGGGCGAGGTCGGCGCGGGCGAGACCATCGGCGTGACCATCGGCGTGACCGTCGGCGCGGGCGTCGGCGCGGGCGAGGTCGGCGCGGGCGTCAGAGGGAGCTCCCAGACGCAGCCGACCCACGGCGCCTTCGTCTCGCAGTCCGCGAAGGAGTAGAGGACGCACGCGCTGTCCGGAGGCGCGCCCTCGTTGCCCACGAGGCCCGTGCACGACTTGCCCGCGACGAGCCCGCAGCCGCATTGCCCGAGGGGCGTCGGGGTCGGGCTCGCGGTCCCCGGAGGACTCTCCGCCGGGCAGGTACCGCAGCTCTCGCGACACGCGGCGGAGGCTTTGGTCTTCGCGGCGTCCTTCTTCTTGTCGCACAACTTGCTGACCTTCTTCTCGTCCTTCTCCTTCATCTTGCCCTGCTCCTTCTTCTTGTCGTACTTCTTGAAGAGGTCGCCGCACGACTTCGCCTTGTCGTCCTTGCACCCCCTCTTCCACGTGCAGCCGGTCTGCTGCTTGCACTTCTTCTTGCGGTGGTTGCCGCAGCCCACGCCCTTGGGCGTCGTCCACGTCTCGTCGTTCTCGCACTCCGCCCCACCCGCGAATGCGACCGTCGTCGTCGTCGCGCCGACGACGGCGCCCGCGTCGCCGGAACACCCACCGCACGTCCGCTCGCAGGCCGCCGCGGCGCCCGGCAAGGCGCAGCGGCGCCCGGCGTTGCGCGCGACGCTGACGCAGTCGATCTCCTTGTTCTTCTTGTTGGTGTGCGACCACGTCGCGTCGTCGACGCACGCGCCCCCGGAGGGGCACGACGCGCAGGCGCGGACGCACTCCGTCAAGGCCCGCGCGCCGGTCGCGCCCTTCTTGCGGCACCGCTTCGTCGGCTTCCTCTCGACCCACGCGCAGGTCTTCGTCGGGGCGTCTTTCCGGTGCCAGGACTTGGAGTCGCGGCCCTTCTTCGACGCGCACGAGGGCCCGTCGCCGCCCGCGAACGCGTCGCCGCCCTCGGTGAAGGCCTCGCCGCCCTCGAAGGCGTCGGGCGCCGCGAGGACCGGCGTGAGCGGGGGCGGGGGCGGCCGCTTGACGCACTGCTCGGCGGACCCGGGGCCCGTCCAAACGCACCCCAAGAACCGGTGGCACCTCTCCTCCGACGCCTTCTTCTCGCAGCACGTCTCTTCCTGGATGAGATCGTCCTCCGGGCCGCAGGCGCCCGCGGCCGCCCCGAGGGCGAGAGCAGCAAAGATCACGAGCCTCATGGTCTTCGCGTCGCACCACAACTCGTTGGCGCGTTCTCACCTGTGCGCACGGCATCTTGAACGTCAACAAAACATCGAGCGACTTCACCGAGGCGATGGGCCGCGCATTTTTGCCGTCTCTCGGACGCGATTCGCGCATCTGACGGGCTCGCAGCACGCCAAAAACTTGGAAATCGAACGATGGGCAAGCAGCAGACCATCTCCTTGAAACAGCGGCGCCGCACGTCGTCGAACAAGCCCCTGCACAAGACCACGCACGTGAAGCCGCGCTTGGCCGCCACGGAGAGCGCCACCGCGCCACCGACGCCGGCGAAAACGCAAGAGCTCTGGGAGGGCGCCTGCCGGAAGAAGCCGGCGACGAGCCGGCCGCTGCCCGCGCGGCGCGCGCCCGCGTCGCCCGGCGCCGCGCTGGCCCGGGCGCGGCTCGCGGACCGCGCGCGCGACCGCCTCGGCCGCCTCTTCGCGCGCGAGCGGCCGCGCGCCCACGGCGCGCCGCTCCTCGCCTTCGAGCGCTGGCAGCTCGCGACGGGCGAGGGCGCGCCGCGGTCGTCGTCGGGCGCGCCCGCGGACGCGCTCGCCGCGGAGCTGGCGCGCGCGGGGCTCGACGGCGCCGCCGCGCGGCGCGTCGTCCGCGAGGCCGCCGCGGGCAACCGCGACGACGCCGGCGAAACCCGCGAGGGGACCGTGCGCGTCACGAGCCACCGGCACACGGCGGACGTCGAGCTCGTCGGCGCGGGCGGCCGGCGCGTCGGCCGACTCCTGAAGGCGAACCACGGCCACGTCGCCAAGCTGCGGGCCATGCACGACGCCTTCGGCGGCGACGCGCCCTTCGAGGAGGACCTCTTCCGCGTGCTCTGCCGCTACGCGGGCGCCGCGGGCCACGGCTTCCACGCCGCGCTGCCCTCCCGGGCGTTCGCGTGCCTCCGCGACGTCGGCGGCGTCACGCTCGAGTGCTTCGCGTCGCCGCTCAACTGCTACTTCGCGCCCTTTTGCTCCGCGTCGCTGGTCGACGACGCGCCCTTCGGGTCCATCGGCTCCTTCTTCGACTTTCACCCGACGGGCGGGTCCTACGAGGTGAACCCGCCGTTCGTCGACGACGTCCTGGCGCGCGCCGCGGACCACGCGCGCGAGTTGCTCGCCGCCGCGACGAAGCCCCTGTCCTTCGTCTTCGTCGTGCCGGGCTGGACGGACTCGGACGCCTGGGCGCGGCTGTCCGCGTCGCCGTTCCTGCGGGACGGCCCGCTCCTCGTCGCGGCGGACGACCACGGCTACGTCGACGGCGCGCAGCACAGCCGCCGCGACCGCCACCGCGCGTCGCCCTACGACACGGCCTTCTTCTTCCTCCAGAACGACGCGGGCTACGCGGCGTGGCCGCCGAAACGCACGAAGCCCGCGCTGCGCCGCGCGATGGCCTCGGGCAAGCCCACGGACGCGGAGGCGCGGCGCCGCGCGGCCGCGGGCCGCGGCCAGGCGCCCGAGGACGGCAGCGGCGCCGTCTACAAGGGCAAGAAGAAGAACCGGCGCGCGGCGCCCGGGGCCGCCGCCGACCACGGCGCGCGCGTGCCGAAGAAGCCCGCGAAGCAGGCCAAGAAGGCCGCGAAGCGCGCGGAGAAGCGCGCGCGGAAGCGCGAGGCCGCGCGCGAGACCGCGGAGGCGCACGCGCCTTCGCGCGAGTCCATCCCGGGCGTCGTGTCGTTCATGTAACGTTTCTTAAGGGGCGATGGGGCATGTACGCTTTCTTCAGTCGCTCGTCGCAGCCCCGCTCGTCGTGGCAAACAGACCCCACCCCGGCCAAAACGCGGCACCTTACCTTCAATCAACACAGCTCTCGTAATTCGCAACTCGCGCGACGAGCGCTGCCCGAGGCTGGTCGCCGCGGGGAGTGCGGTGGCGCTATGAAGCGCGCCGACTCCTACGGCGCCGGCGGCGCGCTGAAGCGCGCCGACTCCTTCGGGTCCGATGGCGGGCCGCAGGACGCCATGGTGCTGCTCCAGATCGAGTTCCTGGGCGCCCAGCTGCGGGCGGCCCACGAGGCCCTCGACGCCGTGCTGCTCGAGACGGACAACGCGCTCGAGGAGACGGCGTCCGTGGCGCAGCTGCTGGAGCACTGCGACCGGCTCACGGAGCCGCAGGTCCAGCAGCGCGGGGGCGCGCGCTTCGGGACGACGATGCGCACGGCGTTCCCCGGCGCCGCGGGCGCCGGCGCCGCGGCCGGCGGCGCGAAGGCGACGGTGCGCCAGAAGCCGAGCGCCGCGGCGCCGCGGCGCCTCGCGCCCATGGGCAGCAACGGGCACCTCGCCGAGCACGAGGAGCGCCCCGTCAAGTCCTTCGAGCTCCAGCTCCCGGGCACGCGACGCCCCTCCGCGAAGGCGCGGAAGCAGGCCCAGGGCAGCGGCAAGGCCATGCGCAAGGCCAAGGTCTTTACCCGTTTAAAGGAGAACGAGCTCCAGGACATTTTGAAGAACCGCACGATCAAGGCCATCTCCCACCCCATGACGCAGAGCATCATGCGGCGCCTCGAGGTCGCGACTTTAGAACGCGACGTCACGCCCGGCGCCAAGCTCAAGCTCGCCTTCGAGAAGTGGCGCGACAAGGTCAAGCTCCTCGGCGGGACGAGCATGAAGCAGGCCATCAAGGATCTGCGGAAGCAGGACCGCGCTAGGAAGAAGCGCGACCGCCGCTACGCGCGGACGCTCGCGCGGAAGAACATGGGCAACGAGCAGCTCGCCGAGGAGGCGCGCTTCGCGCGGTCCGCGGGCGTCGGCGCCTTCGTCGACCGCGCCGAGCTCGCCTACGACGCCTTTGTGCACGCGAACGGCGAGTTCAAGGCCAAGGACGTCTACGAGGCCATGGTCAACATCCGGCGGCCCGTGCCGCTCAAGTGCATCGAGATGGCCTTCGAGCGCACCAAGTTCAAGCCCGGCGACGCCCTCAGCGAGCCCGAGTTCCTGGCGCTGACGACGGAGGTCGAGGACTGCCGCGCGCGGTTGTTCGGCACCGCGTGCGAGGACTTCCGCGCGCGGTTCACGGAGTTCAACGAGGACGAGTGGGACGAGGGCGACACGGGCCGGCGGGCCAAGTCCTGGGTGCCCGGCGTCGCGCTGCGGCGGCCCGACGACTACGCGGTGCAGATGTTCAACGCGCTCGTCGTGTGTCTGCTGATCGCGCAGTTCGTGTTCCTGCCCGTGGAGCTCGCCTTCGACGAGGTCGCCGAGCGCCACGACGTCTTCCTGTTTGGCGTGTTTGTGGACGTCTTCTTCTGTCTGGACGTCGTGAAGAACTTCTTCGTGGGCTTCGAGGACGACAAGCAGCACCTCGTCATGGACCGGCGGAAGACGGCCGCGCGCTACGCCAAGGGCTGGCTCGTCGTCGACCTGGCGTCGTCCGTGCCGGCGTCGGCGGTGCTGGAGCGCCTCACGGGCCGGTCCTTCGCGCTGCTGCGGAGCAAGCGCGCGCTGAAGCTGCTGCGGTGGGAGCGCATCGTCGCGTTCGTGAAGCTCGTGTCGAACACGGCCTGGTACAGGAAGCTGCGCAACAGCACGCTGATTTTACTGGATGAGTCGAACATCCGCATCTCCGACAGCGTCATCAAGCTCCTGCGGCTCTTCTGCGTGCTGCTCGCGCTCGCGCACTGGCTCGGGTGCTCGACGTACATGCTCTGCCGCCTCTGGGACTTCCCCGAGGAGTCGTGGATCGTCCAGGCGGGCCTCATGGACAAACAGGGCGAGAACCGCCAGTCCGTCCTCGACCGCTACACGTGGTGCGTCTACAAGACGCTCGGCACGTTCGTGTCCGTCGCGTACGAGTACCCGGGCGTCGCGCAGACCTGCGTGGGCACGACGGGCTGGTGCAAGGTCGAGTCCTGGGTGACGCTGTTGTGCCTCTACGTGGGCACGGTCTTCTTCGCCATGCTCGTGTCGAACATGGCGGCGATCATCGCGAACGCGAACGTCGGCGGCCACAAGTTCGAGGAGAAGCTCTGCGCGGCGCTCGAGTACATGCACATGCACAACTTCCCGCGGAACATTATCGACCGGGTCAAGGACTACTACTACGTGCGCTTCGTCGGCGGCAAGCTCTTCGACGAGGAGTCGATCCTCGTGGACCTGAACGTGGAGCTCCGGAAGGAGATCGCGCTCTACAACACGCGCGCGCTGCGGCCGAAGACGCCGGTGCTGAAGAATTCGCCCCAGGCCTTTTTTTCCGCCATCGCGACGCACCTGCGCGCGAACTCGTTCTTCGACGGCGACATCGTCATCACCGAGGGCGCGTCGCGCGGCGACATGTTCTTCGTGAACAACGGCTTCTGCGAGGTGCTGCTGCGCGCGGCGAACAATTTGCCGTTGCGCTTCCTCGCGAGCGGCTGCTACTTCGGGGAGAGCGCGGCGCTGCTGGGCGTCAAGCGCACCGCGACGATCCGCGCGGCGGGCGCCCTCGAGGTCTTCGCGCTGCCGCCGGAGGTGCTGCTCCAGGTCTGCTCCGACTTCCCCGAGGTCGGCGTCTACATGAAGGAGGTGTCCCTCAACCGCGTGCAGATGCTCATGCAGTACGACCCGGGCGCGGAGATCGACGGCGTCCAGGACGCCGACTACGTCGACTCCGAGGACGCGATGACGCCCTTCTACATGGAGTACGCGGGCAACCTGCACACGAAGCGCAAGAAGGTCGGCACCTTCCGGCGGCGCGTCGGCTCCATCTTCAAGCTCGGCAAGCAGTACACGCAGAGCGCCTTCGGCAAGGACGACGCGCAGCGGGCCATCGGCACGCGGGCCGTCGGCGCGAAGCACACGTACGCGGCGCCCAAGAAGAAGCTCCAGCGGCAGGCGACGCCCTACGCGAACAACCTCATCGAGGTCACGGAGCGCGACGACGCCGCGGCGCCCGAGGCGAAGGACGACGGGTCGCCGCCGCGCCTCGGCGGCGGCGGCCTCGGCGGCTTCGACGCGGTCATCGAGGAGGGCGACGAGGAGGACGAGGACGAGACGCCCGTCGCGAGCCCAGAGGCCCGCAACAACAAGATTATGCCCATGTAATCTGCGGTCGTAGTGACGTCCGGAGGCCTTCTCGCGGGATCTTGTCGGCATCTTGAATTTCGAGGTGGGTCGCCCGGGCAATGGGCTCTTGCTGAGGCCTAACCTCTGGCACCGAGCACGCGGTCCGGCTGCAGAATCGACGCAACGCCGACCATGGAATCCGCCCCGACGAGCGTGGCCGAGTATCCCGAGTACCCGGTGCGTCCGCGCGCGCGCGCGCGCGCGATCGCAGCCGCATCACCGCCCGCGCGCGCGCAGGTCGGGTGCAGCGTGCTGGCCAAGGTGCCCGGCGGCGGCGCCGGGTGGTTCGCCGGGACCGTCGTCGGCGTGCCGGCGTCCGTGTCCGCGACGCGCAAGCCCGGCACCGTGCGCGTCGTCTTCGCCGACGGCGCCGCCGCGGACTGCGGCCTCGGCGAGCTCCGCGCGTGGCAGAAGCCCGACGAGAGCGCGTGGTCCAAGCGGCGCAAGGTCCGCGGCGGCCGCCACGTCGAGGCCGCGAACCGGCAGAGCGCCCACTCGTCCGTGGAGCAGCTCGACGTCGCGACGGAGGAGAAGATCGCGCGCTGGCAGAGCGCGCGCAAAGCCGCCGAGTCGCTCCACTCCGTCGGCGACCCCGCCGACATCATCGCGTGCTGCCGGGGCCAGGCGCCCCAGGCCGGCGGCTACAAGTGGCGCTTCGCGGACCCGCGGCCCAAGGTCGACGCCGCGGACATCGACGAGCGCGGCGAGCCGCGTCTTTTTTTCCTCGCAAACGCTCGAGCCGCGCGCGCAGGATGATCCAGATGGACTACGCGATCGAGATCCAGAAGGACAACCCCAAGAAGGCGGGCACGAAGAGCGCGGACCTCTACGACCAGTACAAGGGCGCGGGCACCGTCAAGGAGATGCTCTCGCTCGGCGGCCGCCGCGGCGACGTCTCCTACGACATCGCCCACGGCTGGATCACGCGCGTTCCCGCGGCGCCCCCGTCGTTTCGCGCCTCCTCGAGAACGTATCGCCGCCGCAGGTTCCCGGACGCCGAGCTCAACCGGCGCTTCTGCGGCGCGGACGCGAAGGAGGAGGAGGAGGCGCCGCCGCGGCCCGAGGACCAGCTCTACGCCGGCGCGAAGAAGCTCCCGTCGCCCCCGAGCGACGCCGACGAGGACGTCGAGGACGACGAGTAGGGCGGGCGTAAGCGAAGCGAGACGGGCGATTAACGGGCCTAGGGGCTCGGCGCGGCGCCCTGCGCGGCCTGGTGCTCCGCGAAACGGAAGCCGACGCGCTGCGTCAGCTTGATGTACTTCTCGGCGCACCTGCAGATGCACTCGTCCTCCTTCTTGTCCAGCGCCTTGCTCCGGAAGCTCTGCGGCGGGGGGGGTCGGGTTTCTGAGAGAGGTCGGCGCATCGCGGGGGATTCGGTTTTAAGAGAGGTCGCGCGCGTCGCGCGGCGCGCGCGCGGACGAAACAGCAGCCGTGCGGCGCGCGCGCTCGAAGGAGACGCCGTCGCGCGCGGCGACGCAGTGGGCGAAGCACTGCTCGACGAGGTTGTTGTACATCTTCAGCGAGTCCTTCATCTGCATAGTCTCCAGACTCCGCATGAATTCGGGCTTCTGGTGCTCCGGGATGTTCTGGAGCGCGTTCATCGCGGACACCGGGCGGCGGCGCGCGCTGCGGAGAGACGGGTGGAGGCCCGGGCGGCGGCGCGGACGGCGCGGCGCGGCGGGCGGAGGAGGCGCCTCGTCGAGCTCAGCAAAGTTCAAGCTCACGAGTTGGACTAGTTATTGAAGGGGGTGCGCACCCGAAGATCCCGCCCGGCAGTCCTTCCCTTGTCGAGTCGAGGGGCTTGTTAAGATCGGTCGCGCGGAGGCCCCGCCTACTTCTTCTCCTCGTCCTTCTTCTCGTCCTTCTTCTCGGCGTCGTCGCCGCCGGCCTTCTTCTCGTCGAAGTCCGCGTCCTTGGCGCCGTCGTCCGCGGCCGCGTCCTGGGAGCTCTTGTAGACCTGCTCGCCGATCTTCTGGGCCGTGGCCTGGAGCTCGTCGATCTTGGCCTTGAGCTCGTCGAGGGGCGCGTCGTCGCTGAGGTTCTTGAGCGCGTCGAGCTTGCCCTGGACGTCGGCCTTGGTCTCGTCGTCGAGCGCGTCGGCGTGCTCGTCGAGGGACTTGGCCGTCGTGTAGGCGAGGGCGTCGGCCTCGTTCTTCGCCTCCGCGAGTGCCTTCTTCTCGGCGTCGGCGGCGGCGTTGTCCTCGGCGTCGCGGACCATCTTCTCGATCTCGTCCTCGGAGAGGCCGCCGGAGGACCGGATGACGACGGACTGCTCCTTGCCCGTGGCCTTGTCCTTGGCGGAGACGTTGAGGATGCCGTCGGCGTCGATGTCGAAGCTCACCTCGATCTGGGGCGTGCCGCGCGGCGCCGGCGGGATGCCGACGAGGTCGAACTGGCCGAGCTGCTTGTTGTCGGCCGCGAGCTCGCGCTCGCCCTGGAGCACCTTGATCTGGACCTGGGGCTGGTTGTCCGCCGCCGTCGAGAAGGTCTGGGCCTTCTTCGTCGGGATGGTCGTGTTGCGGTTGATGAGGCGCGTGAACATGCCGCCGAGCGTCTCGATGCCGAGCGACAGCGGCGTCACGTCGAGGAGGAGGATGTCCTTGACGTCGCCGCGGAGCACGCCGCCCTGGATCGCCGCGCCCATGGCCACGACCTCGTCGGGGTTCACGCCCCGGTGGGGCTTCTTGCCGAAGAAGGACTCCACCGTGTCCTGGACCTTGGGCATGCGCGTCATGCCGCCGACGAGGATGACCTCGTCGATGGCCGCCTTGTCGACGCCCGCGTCCGTGACGCACTTGCCGCAGGGCGCCAGCGTGCGGTCCACGAGGTCCGCCACGATGCCCTCGAACTGGGCCTTGGCGAGCTTCACGTTGAGGTGCTTCGGCCCCGTCGCGTCCGCGGTGATGAACGGCAGCGACACGTCCGTGTTCGCGAGGCCGTCGAGCTCGCGCTTCGCCTTCTCCGCCGCCTCGCGGAGGCGCTGCATGGCCAGGGCGTCGCCCGAGAGGTCGAGGCCGCTCTCCTTCTTGAACTCGGCGAGGAGGTGCTTGAGCAGCTCCTCGTCGAAGTCCTCGCCGCCGAGCATCGTGTCGCCGTTCGTGCTCTTGACCTCGAAGACGCCGCCGGAGATCTCGAGGATGGACACGTCGAAGGTGCCGCCGCCGAGGTCGAAGACGGCGACGAGCTTGCCGTCGTCGGTCTTGTCCATGCCGTAGGCGAGCGCCGCGGCCGTCGGCTCGTTGATGATCCGGAGGACCTCGAGCCCCGCGATCTTGCCCGCGTCCTTCGTCGCCTGGCGCTGGCTGTCGTTGAAGTAGGCCGGCACGGTCACGATGGCCTTGCCCACGTCGCGGCCCAGGAAGCCCTCGGCCGTCTCCTTCATCTTGCCGAGGACCATCGACCCGACCTGCGACGGCGAGTACTTTGTGCCGTCGCGCGTCTCGACCCAGGCGTCGCTGCTGCCGTCGGCCTTGACGATCTTGTAGGGCACGAGGGGCTTGATGGTCCCGACCTCGGCCTCGTCGATCTTGCGCCCGATGAGCCGCTTCGTCGCGTAGAGCGTGTTGTCGGGGTTCGTCACCGCCTGCCGCTTCGCCTGGAGGCCCACGAGGCGGCTCCCGTCGTCGGCGAAGGCGACGACGCTCGGCGTCGTCCGCGCGCCCTCGGCGTTCTCGATGACGCGCGCCGTGCGGCCCTCCATGATGGCCACGCACGAGTTCGTCGTGCCCAGGTCGATGCCCACGACGTCGCCGGCCTCGGCGCTCAGGTACCGCGCGCTCGACGACTGGGTCGCCGGCCGCCGCGCCGCCGCCGCGGCCATGCGCGCCACGCTCCGCGAGAGCTGCATGGTTTTGTGTCGTGCGAGTCCGCGCTTCGGACGACGCGGGCTTCGGACCTCGTCGCTGAAGGTCGATGCGATGCTGCCGTGGCGCAATGTCTTGTCGAGGCCAACATCGGCTTCGCGCCGTTCTCCGCGCGCGCGCCGGACGGCGCGGAGCGCGTCAGAGGGATGCGACTCCATTCCTTGTGGAGCGTGTCGTCGCCGCGCCGCGCGTCGCCGGGGGCCATCGCGCGAGCGGCCATAATCAGCCGCGCGCTGTCGCGGCGCGGCGTAGTCCGCCGGGCCGCCGCTTCCGAAGCCGTAGCCCGCGGCGTTGGTCACGGCGGCCCCTGCGGCGCCCGCGGCGACCGGGTCCGCGCCGTTCGGACCGTTGAAGCCGTAGCCCGCGGCGATGGACGCAGCGCCCCCCTGCGATCGCCGACCTCGTCGGGCCGCAGGCCCACGCCGACCATGGCCTCGACCTCGGACGTCGAGAGCGACTGGCCCAGCGAGGTCGGCGACGCCGTCGTCGGCGCGCCGAGGCGCGTGCTGCCCTCGAGCTTGGCCTTGGCCGCGTCGAGCGCGGCCTCGCCCCAGAATATTCGGGCAAGGCGCGCTCGTCGCGCGCGACCCGGCGCTCGCGCGCGACGCTCAAGCCTTCCTGCGGCAGCTCCAGGGCCATTACCTGTCGTTGCGAGATCGACTAGACGAACTGATCGAGGGGCCGCGAGGAGACCGTGGCGGTCACCGAATCCGCCGTACGCGTCACGCGCGCGCGCGGCGCGCGCTGCGGCACATCGAAGGCATCGTCAGCTCACAGAGCTCAAAAGTCAAAACGTTGAGCATGGCCCGAGCTCACTCGCGTTCGTGAGAGGCGCGCCCGACACACGCGCCCACCCGCAAATCCCACACAGCAGCACCCACACACAAATGGAGCAACCCGCCGCGCCGAACGCGGCGGGCGGCGCGGAGACGCGCTCGTCCAGCGCGCAGAAGAAGGAGATCTACACGCACGACGCCGACTGGACCATCTGTGCGCACCGCAGCGTCCCGCCCCCGCGACCCCCGCCCGAGCGCCCCCCCCCGCGCGCAGATGCGATGGCCTGGTCGCAGCGCGACGAGCCGGAGCGGGGCTTCCGCCTCGCGCTCGGGTCGTTCGTCGAGGAGTACGCGAACCGCGTGTCCATCGTCCAGCGCCGCGACGCCTACGAGAAGTGCGTCGGCACGGGCGTCGGCCGCGACCGCACGGCCGCCGCCCTCCAGCGCGCGTGCGTCTCCCCGGCGTCGTCGACGTACACCCCGCGCGCGCGCCCGACCGCCGACGAACGTTCGCGCGCAGGCACAACCCCGGCAAGGCCGCGGACAGCGAGGCGGCCTTCGTCACCGTGGGCGAGTTCGAGCACCCCTACCCCGCGACGAAGATCATGTGGTCGCCGGACCGGACGAGCCGGCGGGACCTGCTCGCGACGACGGGCGACTACCTCCGCGTGTGGTCCGTGCCGGACCAGCGCGAGGCGAGCGACGCCGAGAGCGCGTCGTCCGTGGAGATGGTGGCGCTGCTGAACAACAACAAGAACTCGGAGTACTGCGCGCCGTTGACGTCCTTCGACTGGAACGACACGGAGCCGAGCCTCGTCGGCACGTCGTCGATCGATACGACGTGCACGATCTGGGACCTGAGCGTGCCCGCGGTGAAGACGCAGCTCATCGCCCACGACAAGGAGGTCTACGACATCGCCTTCGCCCGGGGCAAGGACATCTTCGCGTCCGTGGGCGCCGACGGGTCCGTGCGGCTCTTCGACCTCCGGACGCTCGAGCACAGCACGATCATCTACGAGACGTCGAGCCTCCGGCCGCTGCTGCGCCTCGCCTGGAACAAGCAGGACCCCAACTACCTCGCGGCCATCCTCGCCGACGACCCGCGCACGGTCATCCTCGACGTCCGCGTGCCGTCGATCCCCGTCGCGGAGCTCGGCGCGCACCAGGCGTGCGTCAACTCCATCGCCTGGGCGCCCCACAGCTCCTGCCACCTCTGCACCTGCTCCGACGACAACCAGGCGCTCATCTGGGACCTCACGGCCATGCCCAAGCCCATCGACGACCCCATCCTCGCCTACACGGCCGACGCGGAGGTGAACCAGCTCCAGTGGTCCACGGCGCACCACGAGTGGGTCGCCATCGCCTACAACACGACCATGCAGATGCTCCACGTCTGAGGCGCCCCCCTGAGTCCCGCGCGGATTAGTGTGGTTCCCGTGCGTCTTAGACCGGGGCGGGCGCAAGCGGAAGCGACGCGAGGCCTCGGTAAAGGAGGACGTGGGACTCCGGACGGCGGATGAAGTTTGAGCCTCTAGCAGGCGACGGCCGCGAGCGTCGCGATGCCGAAGGCGCCCGTGTCCTTGACGTCGATGGTCTTGACGACCTTCTTGGCCACGAGGTCCACGGTCAGTAATTGCTGCTTCGGGTATTGCGGCTCCGTCGACGGCGTCGTCGCGAGGACCATGAGGTAGCGGCCGTCGGCCGACATCGTCGTCTGGTGGAGCGACCCGAGCGCCTCGCCGAGGTCGACGAGGGCCTCGACGCCGAAGGTCGGCGACGTGGCGGCGTAGACCTTGGTGGCCGTCATGTTCTCGTTGGGGATCTTCTGCGCGAGCACAACCGGCGCTTCGAGAGCCTCCGAGTACTCGACGGACGTGATCGTGTAGCTCTGGTCCTCGAACGGGATCGCGCCGACCTCCGCGGGGTCCTTGGACGGCGCCGTCGGCGCGGAGCAGACGCCCTCGACGGCGTCGTTCGACTGGTCCGGGTTGCACGCGAAATAGATTTTGTCGCCGCTAAAGGCCGCGGTGCCCACGGTCATCTGCGGCGAGTGCGCGTCGCCGTAATGGAGCGCGAAAGGCCGCGTCGCCGTGGCCTCGCCCGTCGTCAGGTCGAACTCGGCCAACGTCAGGCCGAAGTCGTCGCTCGGCGCGCGCGCGGCCGCGGCCTCGCCCGGCGGCGTCGGCGGCAGCAGCGGCTCGACCCAGCCCAGCACTTTGTCGCCGACGAGCTGCCCGATCTCGAGGAAGCCGCAGCCCCAGAGGCCGCAGGTCGCGCCGGCGACGGGCTTCTTGCGCGCGAGGTGGTTCATCGTCGACGCGCCGCTCGCGATGTCGACCTTGATCACCGCCGTGCGGTCGCAGCAGCCGTAGTGGTCGTGCGCCGTGCGGTTGTCGATGCCCGTGAACGCGAGCGACTTGCCGTCCGGCGCGATGGTGAGCTGGCCCTGGGGGTCGTACTGCAGGCCCAGGTCCGCGCGCTGGCCGCCCTCGAAGGTGCCGTCGTCGGCGACCTCGCCGAAATAGAGGTGGGACACGCGCGACGGGCTCTTCTTCTCGTGGAAGTCGAAGTACAGCGCGCAGGTCTTGGGCTCCGCCGCGGCGGCGACAACGATGCTGGCGAGCGCGGCGAGAAGGGCAGCCATACTCGATTGATAGAGCCCAGAATTTCAACTCGTCTGTTTTTGAAGGCAAGTTTCCTGCTTCCGTTCGAGGATGACGTATGGATGGGAGCTTACAGGGCTAGCCGCGGCGGGTTCGGGGCGGGGCTAGGGGGCAGGGCGCGCGCACAAAAAGGGAAGTCGGGGATTCATCCGCCCTGGCTGACGAGGACGGGGCCCATGCAGGCGAATGGGAAGCCGCCGCCGAGCATCGCGGCCGCGAGGAGCTCCCGCGGGTCCGGGCCCCGGACCGCGCGGCAGTTGGCGCGCTTGACTGAGAGCATCTCTGCGCCGCAGGCCTGGAGGAGCTCGACGACGACGCGGTCCGCGCGCTCCTCGCGGACGACGGCCTTGGCCCCGTTGTAGCGGGCCCGCGAGAGCGAGTGGAGCTCGACGACGTCCCCGACGGTCGGCTGCTTCGGCGCGCGCGGCTTCTGCGAGCAGGCATTCTGCTTCGGCGCGCATGGCTTCTGCGAGCAGGCATTGCTTCCGACCTTTTGCTGGCGGGTCTTGAGGCCGAAGATCCGCGCGAAGACTTCCTCGGCGGGGATCGACCACGGCTCGACGCGCGTCGGCTCCAAGGCCAGGAGCGCCTCCTCCCCGACCTCGCCGCGGAAGAAGGCCGTGCGGACGCCGTCCTCCTTGTCGAAGACGCCGAGCCAGGTGCCCGCCTGGGCGATGCCCCGCGCCTCGTCCTCGCCCGCGGTCGCGACGAAGCGGTCGTCCGCCAGCCACTTGCCCGGCCAGGGCTCCCGGCCGTCGTCGAAGGCCAGCGTCTCGCCGACGACGCGCTTGCCGTCGCCGAAGGGCCGCCCCTCGAAGCCCGGCTCCTTCTCGTCCGTCGTCGTCCAGTCCGGCGCGCCGAGCGTCGCGGGCGCCGGCGCGACGTCGTACTTAGCAACGGTGCCGCGAGAGGCGAAGAACGACGCCGCGGCCTCGAGCTCCGCGTCGGACGTGACGACGACGTCGTCGCCGTCCTCGTCGACGTAGCTGAGGCGGGCGCCGGCGAGCTCGCCGAACGTGCGCGCCGCGAGCTCGACGAGCGCGCCGTAGGTCGACGCGTCGTGCTCGACGCGGCGCACCTCCGAGACGCCGCCGGCCCGGCGGAGCGCGAGCTTGACGTGCGCCTTGGCTCGGGGCTCGGGACTGCTCGCTTCCGTGGGGCGGAGCTGGTCGGTGGGGCTGCGCGCTTCAGCCTTCGGCGTCGCGGGGCTGCTTGGCGGCGTCGTGGGTTCGGTGGGGAGGAGGCGCGTCGTCGCGGGGCTGCCGTCGCCGTCGACGACAACGAACTCGTCGGCCTTGTAGTCGTGCTCGTTGTTGGTGGTGGTCTCGTGGTTGCTGGTCATGGTGGGTGCTTTTGCGATGTACGGTGCTGCGGTCTGGTTTGGGAATGACTGCCATCATGATCTGAAGCTTCGAATGCGAGGCGAGGAGCGCGCCGAAGAACGCGCTTGCTTCGATGGAGTTCTCAGCGTGTAATTCAGCTAACTTGAAGAGGAGCAGTTTCTGTCCACCTCGCGGGCTGCCTCGCCGACGTGCAAGAACACCGCGACCACCAGCGCGTGCAACCTCGCCGACAGCGAGAACCGACGCGCGAGAACACCATGGCCGCCTACATCGTCGCCGCGGCCCGCACGGCCACGGGCAAGCAGCGCGGCGCGCTGCGCAACGCCCACCCGGCGACGCTCAGCGCCGCCGTCATCGACCACATCCTCGCGTCGCTGCCCTCGCTGGACCCGGCGGACGTCGACGACGTCATCCTGGGCTGCGTGTCCCAGTGCCAGGAGCAGGGCGGCAACATCGCGCGCCACGCCGTGCTCTCGTCGACGCTGCCCATCAGCGTGCCCGGCGCGACGATCGACCGCCAGTGCGGCTCGTCGCAGCAGGCGATCCACTTCGCGGCGCAGGCCGTCATGTCCGGCACGCAGGACATCGTCGTCGCGGGCGGCGTCGAGTCGATGACGCGCGTCCCCATGTTCTCCAACATGCCCGGCGACAAGGGCGGGCCCGTCGACGCGGCGATCGCGGCCAAGTTCTCCACCAAAGCGCCCTTCTTCTCGCAGTTCGTGGGCGCGGAGATGATGGGCGTCGAGTTCGGCGTCCGCCGCGACGAGATGGACGCCTTCGCGGCGCGGTCCCACGCGCGCGCGGCCGCGGCCCAGGCCGCGGGCGTCTTCGACGGCGAGATCGTGCCCGTCGAGGGCGTCGACACGGAGGGCGCCGCCGTCGCGCACGCGAAGGACGAGGGCGTCCGCGCGGGCACGACGGCCGAGAAGCTCGGCTCGCTCGACACGCTCGTCGAGCTCGGCGTCGCCACGGCCGTCGCCGGCGGGCCCGAGCGCGGCGCCATCACGGCGGGCAACGCGTCGCAGATCTCCGACGGCGCGGCCGCGCTCCTCGTCGTCAACGACGCGGGCCTCAAGAAGCTCGGGAGCGCCGCGACGCCCCTCGCGCGCGTCCACTCCCTCGCCGTCGCCGCCAACGACCCCGTGCTCATGCTCTCGGCGCCGATCCCGGCCACGGAGAAGCTCCTCGCGCGCGCGGGCGTCGCCATCGGCGACGTCGACGTCTACGAGGTCAACGAGGCCTTCGCCGTCGTGCCCATGGCCTGGGCGAAGCGCTGCGGCGCCGACGAGGCCAAGCTCAACATCCACGGCGGCGCCTGCGCGCTGGGCCACCCGCTCGGCGCGACGGGCGCCAAACTCGCGACGACGCTCGTCCACACGCTCCAGCGCGAGGAGAAGCGCTTCGGCCTGCTCGCCATCTGCGAGGGCGCGGGCACGGCCAACGCGACGCTCTTCGAGCGCTGCTGAGTGCGCAGAGAGGCGTCGAAAGTAAACTCACGGACGGCTCCTTGAGTTCAACCGCAGAAACTTGCACCATCTCCGCCACGACCGCCTCGTGCGCCGTCGTCTGTGGGACGCCGTCGCGCGCTGCAACCTCTAGCACCGTCGCGCGCTGCGACGATGAAGCTCGCGTGCCTGCTCGTCGCCGGCGCCGGCGCCTTCCCGGCGAGCGGGCGCGACAACTTGGCGCCTCTCGAGGAGGCCGCCGCCGCGGAGGCCGAGGCCCACTGCGACGTCATCGCCGCCGCGGACACGCAAGACCTGCTTAAGGCGAGCTATGAGTCCCTGGAGGACGCGTACGACGCCGACGCGCACGGCCACGCGACGTACGACTGCGCCGCGTCGCTCGTCGACGCGCGCGCGCAGTACGACAAGGCCGAGCCCTACCTCTGGTGCGTCGTCGCCCACTGCGAGGACTGCGACGGCTCTCGCGCGGCCTGCCCGACGGCGTCCGCGGGGCTCTACGAGCGCGACGAATGCGAGTCCGCCGTGTTCAACTACCTCGGCTTCGTGAGCCGGAAGAAGGACGAGCCCGACTTTGAGCGCGCCGAGGAGTACTACCGCGAGGCGCTCGAGCTGTGGCCGGAGAATTGCGGTGCGCTGGAGTACCTCGCGGAGCTCTACGCGACCACGGGCGCGGCCGCGAACGTGACCCTCTGCGAGGACGCCGAGGCCAGCGGCGCGCGCGCCGCGGCGCCCTCGGTCCTTCTCCTGGCGGCGACACTTCTGATGTTAAGGCCTCGAGCGTGCTGGAGAGCGGCCGCGATGTAGTGTAGTGTTGATCAAAAACTCTTAGGGCACGAAGCCGCAGACGGTGTCTTGGCCTTGGTGTCTTGGCCTCCGCGCGAACACTAGCCGCTGCACGTGGTGATCGTGCCAGAGATACGGGCGCGTGGGACCCTCGCTCGTGTCGACGCGCTTGCAAGGGTTCGGGCTCTTGCCGCTCGCGCTATGGCCGCGACGCTGGACGACGGGATGCAGGTCGTAGAGGTCGTCCTGAAAATCGAAGAGCACGGTCCGAAGCGACATCTGGTCGTGGCCGTCCTTGCTCGGATGCGCGCGGATCTCCGCGCTCCATCGCTCGAGGATCTCGCGCGCCTTTCCCGCGTCTCCGAGGAACATCACGCCGCCGTTGCGCTCGCAGAAGCTCTTCGGGACCTTCGTCTCGTGGAGCTTCGGGACACAATTGTGCGCGATTTGCAGGCCCACGGCCTTTTTCTCCTTGCGCATGGCGTCGAACATCGCAAAGAGGCCGTCGACGCCGTCGCGCCGGATGGCGACGTCGTTGTCGATGTAGAGCGTGCCGCCCGGGAAGGCATAGTCCAACCCATTCAGGATCGCGTCGACCTTGAAGAAGCGGAGCTTGATGTCGATCTTGAGCCGGCGGTGCTCGATGTCGAGCGGCGCGACCTCGAGCCGGCGGTGCTCGTCGACCTCGAGCGGCGCGACTGATATTTGTTCGCAGGGCAGGAAGCGCTCCGCCTTCGCCGCCTCTTTCGGCGTGTCCACGATAAGTCGCGCGCGGAACGACGTGCGGCAGATGTCGCGCAGCACCGCGCCGAGGTCGTCGTAGCGGTCGATCTCGCCCGTCTTTGCACGCGCCTCGTAGGTCGAGAGGCGTTCCAACGTCAGGGACGTCGCGACGAGGAGGAAGCCGCGCTCACCGACGTCTTTCGCTTTCGACAACGCGACGCACAGCACAAGCCATGCGAGCGGTCGATGCATCGCAACGCGTCTCGCCACACCGATCCTGACCGGGCCCGCGGGGCCGAATTCCAGAAGGGCGAGGGGGACGCTTGAGGTGGACGGGTCCGGGGGGCCGAGGAGGTAATGTTGACCAAACCCAGGCCTAAAAATCTCGCCACAGCGGGTCCGGTGGGCCGAGCCACAAGGGCGAGACTTGGGGATCTCCTGGGGGCGATGTAGATCTAGTCTCAAGTAACGGCTTTTAGGGCACGAAGCCGCAAACGAGGCCCTGCGCATCGACGAGGGAATTGCGCCTTGCGAATAGGCTTTGCGAGAATTTGAGGCGGCCGTGGTGGTGTTCGTGCCAAAGGTGCGGGAGCGTCGGACCCTTGCGCGTGTCGACGCGCTTGCAGACGTCCGCTCTCACGCCGAGGTGCTGGACGACGGGATGCAGGTCGTAGAGGTCGTCCCGGAAATCGAAGAGCACGGTCCGAAGCGACACCTGGTCGTGGCCGTCCTTGCTCGGGTGCGCGCGGAGCTCCTCGCTCCATCGCTCGAGGATCTCGCGCGCCTTTCCCGCGTCTCCGAGGAACATGACGCCGCCGTTGCGCTCGCAGAAGCTCTCCGGGACCTTCGTCTCGTGGTCCTTCGGGAGACAGGTGTACGCGATTTGCAGGCCCACGGCCTTTTTCTCCTTGCGCATGGCGTCGAACATCGCGAAGAGGCCGTCGACGCCGTCGCGCCGGATGGCGCCGTCGTTGTCGATGTAGAGCGTGCCGCCCGGGAAGGCATAGTCCAACCCCTTCAGGATCGCGTCGACCTTGAAGAAGCGGAGCCTGATGTCGATCTTTCCGAGCCGGCGGTGCTCGAGATCCGTGAGCCGGCGGTGCTCGATGTCGAGCGGCGCGACCTCGAGCCGGCGGTGCTCGTCGACCTCGAGCGGCGCGACTGATATTTGTTCGCAGGGCAGGACGCGCTCCGCCTTCGCCGCCTCCTTCGGCGTGCCCACGATAAGTCGCGCGCGGAACGACGTGCGGCAGATGTCGCGCAGCACCGCGCCGAGGTCGTCGAAGTGGTCGATCTGATGAAGGTCTCCTTTCTCTGCGCGCGCCTCGTAGGTCCAGAGGCGTTCCAAAGTCGTGGACGTCGCGACAAGGAGGAAGCCGCGCTCGCCGACGTCCTCGAGCGCTTTCGACGACGCGACGCACAGTGCAAGCCATGCGAGCGGTCGATGCATCGCGACGCGACTTGCCACAGCGGTCCCACGGTGGGATGCAGCCTGAGGTCGCAGTGGCCTCCCGGACATCGAAGCCGACGAACGCTCGCACGCAAGTTAGAACGCGACGGAGTCCGGCGGCTCGTCGCCGCCGCCTCCGCCGCCGCCGTCTCCGTCGCCGCCGCCGTCGCGCCGGAGCGCGGTCTCCCCGGGGAAGAGGACGTCGTGGGCGTCCTGGATGTTGCGCGAGAGCCGCTCGAGGAGCAGCGCGCGCGCGGCCCGCGGGTCGCGCGGCGGCGGCGGCTCGTCGTCCCGCGGCGGCGGCGGCTCGTCGTCGTCCGGGAAGGCCGGGCGGTCGCCGTCCTCGGGGAAGAGCACGTCGTGCGCGCCGCCGAGGTCCTGGATGTTGCGCGAGAGGCGCTCGAGGAGCCGGACGCCCGCGGCGCGCGGGTCCCGGGGCGGCGGCGCGCGGTCCGCGGCGCCGAGGCCCCGGAGCCGCGCCGCGAGGTCGCGCGCGGCGGCGTCGTCGTCGTCGTCCGACGACGAGCCGTCGCGCGCGTCGGCCGCGGCGAACTCCGCGTCGTCGAGGGGCGGCCCGGACCCGTCCGCGGGCGCGCAGACCGCGAGCCCCGCGCCGCAGGCGACGGCCCACTTGAAGCCCCGCGTGTTCACGCTGTCGCCGCGGCCCGCGAGCAGGAACTGCCACCGCGCCGCGTGGCAGCGGCGGCGGCAGTTGCGCCGCGTGGCCGCGCCCTCGACGGCCGCCGCGCCGGCGTCCGGGTCCGCGTCCGTGAAGAGCTCGAAGGCGATGTGCGGCTGCGTGCCCGGGCCCAGGAAGCACGCGTCGAGCCGCTCGTACAAAACCGCGCCGCAGAGCCCGCAGGACAGCCGGAGCGGCGGCAGGAGCCGCGGCGAGAGCGCGTTGAGCCGGAGGCCCGCCCGCCAGGGCCGCGCGCGCCGGTCGACGTGGCGCGCGCCGGGCGCGCCGGGCAGGGAGAACCGCCGCAGCGACGGCAGCGACGATATAACGGACTGGATCGGCGGGTCGCCCCGCGGGCGCGCCTTGAGGTTCCAGAGCTCGCGCCAGCCGCCGAGGAGCAGGTCCTCGAGCGCCGGCAGGGGCGACGCACCGCCGCCCCGCCGCAGGGCGTCGCAGAGGCCGTAGAGCGCGCGGTCGTCCGCGCCCGCGCGGCCGCCCGGCGCGAGGCGCGCCGCGTCGCCGCGCCCGAGGCGCCGGAGCCAGGGCGCGCAGGCGTCCGGCGACGCCGAGAGCTCCAGCGACCGCAACCGCCCGTAGCCGCCGAGGCCGAGCTGGAAGCTGCAGAGCCGCAGGCCGCCCTCGGGCCCGCCGCGGTGGTGCACGAGCCGCAGGCGCTCCACGGACGGGAAGCAGGGCGCGTGGCCGTCGACCTCGCTCGTCCGGTAGAGCGCGAGCGTCCCCGCGGGGCCCGCGAGCGACGCCAGCCGCGGGCTCCGCGACCCGAGCGCGCCGGGCACGCAGCGCCCCAACTCGAAGCAGTCGATGGCTTTGCGGCAGGGCAGGTCCGGCGCCAGCGACGCGGCCCGCAGCGCGCGCGCGACGCGGCCCGCGACCTCGACGTCGACGAGCCCGTTGTAGCCCAGGACCTCGCTCCAGACGTGCTCCGGCAGCGGCGCGACCATCCTCTGTGATGCGTCCGCCCGGCGCTTCGGCCATCAACCACGGCACCGTTGGCTCGAGCACCAAAGGTGCCGCGCCGGCGGGTAGATTGTGCGCGTCGTCTGGGCGCCGGGGCAGCCCGGGTCCCGCCGCCATGCTGAGCGCGCCGGAGACGGCGACGCCCCGGGAGGTGCGCTTCGCGCCGTCGGTGAAGATGAACGACGGCCGGAGCCTCACGGAGGAGGCGGCCCTCGAGGCGTCCGGCGAGTGCCAGCTCGAGCTCGTCACGCAGCTCGTGCTGCGCCAGTGCCAGATCCGGCGCCTCGAGCCGGCCTGCGCCTCCGGGCTCATCAACCTCCAGGTCCTCTCGCGCGCGTCCGGCGTCGTTTTACGTGCGCGACACCGTCGCTTCACGCGAAACCGCGCAGGCTCTCGCACAACCTGCTCAAGTCGCTGCACGGCTTCGCGGAGCTCGTGTCGCTCGAGGAGCTGAACCTGAACTTCAACCAGCTCGCGTCCCTCGACGGCCTCGAGAGGTGCGTCAAGATCTGCCGCCTCTACGCGAGCAACAACCGCCTCGCCAAGGCCGAGGGCCTCTGCGGGCTGCCGCTGCTGAGGACCGCGTGCCTCTTCGGCAACCAGCTGAGCGGCCTCGACGGCACGCTGGAGACGCTGCGGCGCTGCCCGAAGCTCCGCGAGGTCGACCTGCTGGGGAACCCGCTGGCCCACGAGCGGGGCTACAAGCACCGGGTCGTCCGGTGCCTCGTGCGGCTCGAGGCGCTCGACGGCGACCGCGTCGTGCCCTTCGACAAGGAGATGAGCCGCGCGTTCTTCGCGTCGGAGCGCGCCGGCGGCGGCGACGATGGGAAGAAGCAGCGGCCGAGCACGGCGCCCGCGCCGGAGAAGCGGCCGCCGCTGGCGACCAAGAACGAGGCGTTCGACTGGGCGTGCCTCCCGAAGGAAAAACCGCGGCTCTTCGGCGCGCAGGCCGACGACAAGCTCCACGCGGACCCCGTGGCCCTGGGCTACCTCGCGAAGCACATGCTGGACCACCCCATGCAGGGCCCCGCGTACCGCGACGGCGACTGGCGCGCGGACGACGCGCGGAAGTTCGTCGAGCGGCTCCGGCTCCGGAGCGCGACGCACAAGGACTCGCTGGTCACGGGCGGGCCCGCGGCCAAGGGCTGCGCCGACGTCGACGGCGCCACAAGGGTGGCGTCCGCCGTCGACGCGTCGGACCCGTACCTGACGATCCGGCGGCTCATCGCGCTCGTCAGGGCAGGACAAGAGAGCGAAATTCCCAACTTCAAAGGCTCATATCTCGGCCGTTTTCCACTCGTTTTGGCTGATTTTTGGACGAGCGATCATCTCTCGGAACGGTCTCGAAGCGTGGATGCTTTTTCTGGAACGCGCGCGCGCGGAACACTCACGTTGAAGCGAACTTGAATCACCCTTGTCCTGCCCAGGCGCTCGTCGAGTCGTTGCAGAGCGACGCGACGCGCGCGCCCGCGGCGCCGGCCGCGGACGTCGCCGACATCGCCCGGGAACTGGAGCGGCTGCGCGTCGAGAACGCGAACATGTTCCTCATCCGCGAGGAGAACGCGAGTTTGCGGAAGCGCGTCGGCGAACAAAACGCGGACGCGGGCGAGCTCCGGCGCCTCAAAGAGGAGAACGCGGACCTGGCCGCGCGCCTCGGCGAGGCCGAGGCCCAGCTCCAGGCGCTGCACCTCGCGGCCATCACGGGCTCGGGTGCCGCCGCGCCCGCGCCGCGGCCGCGGACGGCCGCGGAGATCATCGACGAGTGCGCGGGCGAGATCCTGTGTGGAATTCAACCACTGGTTTGGGTGGTCCTGACCAAACTTCAGAATTCCCTAGCTCGGTCAAATCGAAGTCGATTCGGCTGATTTTGGACGAATCGATTGCTCTCGTCGAGTTCTCGAAGCACAGCCGACGAGATTGCGTCGAAACTGTCGCATACGCTCACGTTGAATTCGGGTTGAAGATTTGAATTCCACACAGGCGAGATCGACGACGAGCTCGAGGATTTGTTCCGGGCGAACGCGGCGTCGCTGAGCCAGCTGCGGAGCGACGTCGAGGCCTTCCAGTTCGAGGTCGGCGTCGAGCCCGCAGTCGGCCCGCCCGCGGCCGCGCCCGTCGCGCCCATCGCGCTCGCGAAGCCCGCGACGCCGCCCCCGGGGCAGACGGACCGCGAGCCGGACGTCGACACGCCCGCGCACGTCCGCGGCCGCCCGCTCTGGTCGTCGCCCTCCGGCGACGCCGACTCGGCCGCCGCCGTCGCCGCGGCGCCGCTGCCGCCGTCGCCCGCGCGGCCGGGGTCGCGCGCGGGCCGCGCGCTCAAGGCGCGCGCCGCGGCGCCCGCGCACTCGCGGCCGAAGACGCCGTCCGTCGCGGACATCCTCGCGGGCCGCCGGACGCGCGAGGCCGCGTCCGAGTCCGACGACGACGAGTCCGCGGACGTGTGGAACGCCGCGCTCGAGAAACGGAAGTGCGACGGCGCGCCGGCCGTGTCCGACCGCGTCGTGACGACGAAGCACGCGTGGCTCCTCATGGGCGACGACGCGGCCGACGACGGCGCGGAGGAGTCCAAGGCCGACGTCCTCACGGCCCTGTAGACTAAGTTTCCGACTCGGGTTTCGAGGCCGACGTCCTCCGAGCATCGCGGCCCGCTCGACTTTCCAACTTTTTGTGCGCCGCGAGCTTAGGTGACGAGGGAAGGGGGGGGGGGTCGTCCGCGGGCGCTCTTGGTCGTGCCGCGGGGTCTCGCCTACTTCTTCTTGGGCTTGTCGACGAAGCCGAAGTACGCGTAGGCCGCGAGGAACGCGCCCCACGTCGCGACGCCGACGAGGTCCTCGTAGACGTGGGAGATGTAGATCATGCCGACCATGGGGATGGAGTTGAACTGGGAGAACTTCTTGACCGCCGCCGGGCCGGACGCGACGCACGCGGCCTTGCCCGCGCCCCAGCCGAGGCCGAACGTCGTGAAGAGCGGCGCGATGACCTCGAAGTCGGCGCCGGCCTCCTTCATGAGCGCGCCGATGCCCGCGAAGTTCTCGAGGTAGAGCGCCGGGTTCGCCGTCGCGAGGATCGACGTCGACACGACGACGAAGCAGCTGAACGCGAGGAACTTCTCGCCGCTCGACTTGAGCGCGGGCATGGAGATGGCGGACCCGCCCATGGATTTGCGACCGGAGCGCGTGGCGACCATGTTTACCTGCGCGTCGCGTGTGAACGGCGCCCTGGGCGCTCGCGCTCTCGCCGAGTGGGATACGCGCAGCTGACGGTTTCTATGCGATTTGCGCGTCCTCGGGCACGGCGCGCACGGGGTTTTCGAGCGCGAATCGAAGTGGCACGTGTGTAGAGGGTATGTGAATCGCGGAGGGGCTCGGGGCGTGCATATGCAGGCCGGACGCGGGGGGGCGCGTGCAAAAAGTGGCAAAGTGTACTCGAGCTGCTCGGCGGCAAAAAGTGCAACACGTGGGCAACGTCGACCTTGACGCCTCCGTGCCCGCGCAATGCTCTCCGCCGCAGACGCCCGCCCCGAGGACCGGTGCGTTCACTTTTTAGCCCTCGAAGCCGAGGACCTGGGCTTCGAAGTCGAGTGGCTCAGCCGCACGACCGGCGCGGCGGCGGACGACGCGCCCTACGCCTCGCGCACCTGCCGCCTGACGCACGCGGGCTGGGACGGCCCCGTGGTCCTCGACTTCCTCGCGATCTGCGGCCTCGTGCAGATCTCGGCCGTGTACGGCGACAAGCGCAGCCGCTCGGACGTCGCCGCGGCCGCGCCGCGCGCCGCCGTCGGCCGCCGCCTCGCGACGCGCGTGCTCCGGCCGCTCCAGTCCGCGGAGCCGCCGCACGCGACGCTCGCGGGCCTGCCGCCGCCCCTGGCGGCCCAGGTGCTCGCGTGCCTCGGCGCGCGCCAGGTCCGCCGCGTCGCCGCGACCGCGCGGGGCCCGCGCGTCGAGGCGTCGCGCGACGCGCTCTGGTCGCGCCTGCTGCGGCGCGACCGCGCGGCCCTGGACGTCGACGTGCCGCCCGGCGACGGGTCGCTCGGCAGCGGGCCCGTCGTCGCCATCTACGCGGCGCTCGCGCTCGCGGCGCGCGCGCGCCGCGACGTCGTCGGCCGCCGGCGCCGCGAGGTCTGCCGGGTCGTGGGCGAGGAGGAGGAGACGGTGGCGCGGCGCCGGGACCTCGCGCGGGCGCTCTTCGACTTCGACGACGCGGACCGGCCCTACCGCATCTCGCCCTTCTCGCCGCCGGCGCCGCCGCTCGAGCCGACCTTCGCGCCGACGATCCCCCGGGGGCCCACCTGGGCGCCGCCCTGGGCGTTCCGCTGACACGGCGCGCTTGTCTTGTATATACTCGACCTTCGAATCGACGAGTGGGCGCGGACGGCGGACGGCGGACCCGTGCCAAGTCCCGCGCCTGCGCGGGGACGCCGAGTAGGACGCGTCTTTAAAGCCCACCCTCGACGGCGCCACTTCGCGAGCTCTAGCTCACCGCTGCGCACGCCTACCGGACACCTAAAACGACGCGCACGAGGCGTCGCACGCGAAGCCGAAACGACTTCGCGAAGTTCGCGATGTTTGCCTCCAAGGTGCAGCGATTCAAAGACACGATCGAGAGCACTCCAAAAAGCAACTGGCACGGCGTCCGTTTGCGACGCGCGCGCGCGCGCGCCACACACGCCGCCACGCCTCCGCGCGCTCCCCCGCGCGCACGCGCGACGACGCGACGACGCAGGTTAGCAAAAAACACCAACTCGCATCATGTCTGGCAAAGGAAAGGGTGGCCGCGGCAAGGGCAAGGCCTCTGGCAAGTCCACGTCCAAGGCGGCCAAGGCCGGCCTCCAGTTCCCGGTCGCGCGCCTCAACCGCTTCCTGAAGAAGGGCAAGTACGCGTCGCGCGTCGGCGTCGGCGCCGGCGTCTACATGGGCGCGGTCCTCGAGTACCTCTGCGCGGAGATCCTCGAGCTCGCGGGCAACGCCGCCCGCGACAACAAGAAGGCGCGCATCGTGCCCCGCCACCTCCAGCTCGCCGTCCGCAACGACGAGGAGCTCAACAAGCTCCTCGGCTCGGTCACGATCGCGTCCGGCGGCGTGCTCCCGAACATCCACGCCGTGCTCCTCCCGAAGAAGGGCAAGGCCAAGACCTCGGGCTCGTCCCAGGAGTTCTAAGCGGCCCCACCCCGCTGCACGGTCGCCGGCCGCGCTCGCCTTTCCGGGCGGCGCGTCCGGTCGCAGCCGCGCTCGCGCACAAACCACACCCGGTGTTTTCGAACACCACCCTCCGACGGAAGAAGCGAAGCGGCGTCGTCGTCCTGCCTCTCGAAAAGTCCGGGCTCGCACGGCGTCGTCGTCGCGCCTCTCGAAAAAGTTAGGGCTCGCGCGACGCGCGGGGCTCGTGGCGCGCCACGGCGACGGGTTGCCCCTTGCACGGGGCCCCGTCGAGCGCGAGCGCGCGCGCGAGGCCGGCCTCGTCCTTGAGGTGCGCGACGACGGACGAGGGGCTCCCGCGGTAGACGAGCGTCGGACCGCAGCGGCCGAGGAACGCCCGGACGTCCCCCAAGCTCGCGCGCGGGCCGAGGTTCGACACCTTGACGGCGTAGCGCGCGTGCTCGGTCCCCGCGTCGCCGTCGTCCGTCGCGCAGGAACGCTCCTCGACGACGGTCTCGTCGTCGCCGGTCTCGTCGTCGCCGGCGGCGTCGCCGCCGGCGTCGACGCGGGCGATCTCGTAGAAGCGCGCGTTCGCCGCGTCCTCCGCGGTGCAGTCGTCGCCGAACGTCGCGACGGCCGCGAGCTCCGCGGCGCCGAGGACGACGCGCCGGCAGTCCGCGCGCAGCGCGCCCGTCGCGGCGATCGCCGCGGCGACGACGTCGTGCGACACCCCGGCGCGCGGCAGGTGGCAGAGCAGCGCCGTGCCATGCGGCGCGAGCGCGGCGTCGACGGCGGCTAAAAAGGGGTCGACGAGCTCCCGCTTGTAGAGCACGTCGCCGGCGAGGACGACGTCGAAGGTCGCGCCGAGGTCGTCGACGCCCCAGAGGCACTTCCGCACCGCGCACGCGCCACTGAGCCCGTTGCGCTCGACGTTCTCGCGCAGGAGGCCGAGGCAGCGGTCGTCGCCGTCCGTGGCGAGGCAGGACGCCGCGCCGAGGCGCGCCGCGACCATGCCCACGAGGCCGCAGCCCGCGCCGAGCTCCGCGACGGACTTCTCGGCGACGACGCCGGGGAGCCGCGCGAGCTCGCAGCCGAGGAGCAGGCTCCCGGGCCAGGCGCGCTGGCCGCTGATCTCGTCCTGGGCGCGCTCGAGGTCGAAGAGCAGCTCCATGGGCAGCTCCGCGATCGTGCGTACCGAGAGCTCGTGGCCGCCGATGACGAACTGCTTCTCCTCGTACTCGATCTCGTAGTCGCTGTCGCTGTCCTCGTCGGCGGGCTTATCGTTCAACGCGCACATCGTTCAAGGAGCGCGTCGTCGGCAGCGGCGGTGGTGGTGTGAAAGCTCGTCGGGGACTAGTTCATCGCCTCTGCCGCAAGGCATCTTGCACGGCAACAAACCAAGGCTCTCGAAGCGAATCGGGCAGCCCACTCGAGCTCGCACACCGAGCCAGTCAAGACGATGGCGGAGGAGCCGGACATCATCCTCGTCGCGCTGCGCATGGCGCTCGCCGGGGGCATCCCCGAGCGGGTGACGAGCCTCGGCGCCCTCGGCGCCGGCGACCTCATGTCCATCGTCGCGCGCTGCGTGGCCCTCGTCGACACCACGGGCGGCGACGCGCTGCCCGAGGCTTTGCCGAGCGGCGTCGCCGCGAAGCACCGCGCCTGCGCCCGCACGGCGAGCCGCCTCAAGGCCATGGGCTACAAGGGCGAGTGCGGCTACAACGAGCTGCTCTACCCCGGCGAGTCGTCGACGCGCCCGTTGCTCACGTGGCTCGTCGACAAGCTGCCCAAGGACGGCGGCGACGCGGGCCCCGGCGCGGCGCCCCTGGGCGGTCGGCGCGCGCGATTGGGCGAGGCCGTGCGCGCCTGGACGGCGAAGCGCTGGCAGTTGCCCGCGGACCGCGGCGGCTTCTCGCGCGGCGCGCGGTTCCGCACGTTCGCCATGGGCGACTGCCCGCTGGAGTACGCGGTGCCGTCGCTCCTCGAGGCCGCGGCGACGCGCGCCGTCCAGGAGGCGCGGCGCGAGGCGGCCCTCGAGCGCGACGCCGACGAGCTGCTCCAGGAGGGCGGCGGCCGGTGCGCGCCGCTGTCGGGCAGCGGCGCCGTCGACCTCGGCTGGGGGACGCTCGGCGAGATGCCGTCGCTCAAGGAGCTCCTGGCGTCCCTGGAGCGCGGCACGGAGACGGAGCGCGCGCGCCTCGGGCGTTTAGCGCACGCGGCGCGCTTCGACCACGGCGGCGGCGACGACGACGCGGGCCCGGGCCGCCGCGTCGCCAAGGCGAGCGGCGGCGGCGACGACGAGCCGCCCGCGGACGACGGCGCGGCGTCGGCGGAGGCCGCGGCCAGGGCGCGGCGCGAGGCCGCCGAGGCCCGCGTCGCCGCGCTCAAGGACGAGCTCCGCGCGCTCGGCGAGGCCTACAAGAAGGAGGTCGGCGACGACGCGCTCATCGACGAGAAGGACGCGGCGACGTCGGCGGAGCTCAAGGAGCTCCGGGCGGCGCTCGCGGCGCTCAAGGACGCGGGCGCCCACGCCGAGCGCGAGTACACGGTGCGGCGGAAGACGCTCGAGATGCTGCCCGAGTCGGAGGCCGCGATCCTCAAGCTCGCGGAGATTTGCGGCGCGTCGGCGCGGAAGCTCGTCGACCTCGCGCGCGAGTGGGAGGGCCACCGCGTGCCCCTCGTCGAGAAGATCCGCGCGTCCCGCGCGGAGCTCCGGCGCCGGAAGCTCAAGGCCAAGGCCATGGTCGACGAGATGAAGCGGTGCCGCGGCGAGATGAACGCGATGGTGCTCGACGTCCGCGACAAGGACGACCGCCACCGGCTGCTCGAGGAGCGCTACGCGGCCATGCCCAAGAACGTGAACCGCGCGCTCTACACGTACCGCATCATGGACATCATCAAGCAGATCGCCAAGCAGAAGGGGGAGATCACGAAGATCGTCGACGACATCCGCTCCGTGCAGAAGGAGAACAACAAGATCGGCGCGACGCTCCAGCGCACCGAGGCCCTCGCGGACGAGCGCGTCTTCCAGGAGGCGAACGCGGGCGGCAAGGACCCGCAGCTCGTCGCGGCCTACCGGAGCCTCAGCGACCTCCGGAAGCTCTTCGAGAAGACGGTGACCGTGATTTCGGAGACGGGCGCCAAGGAGCGCGAGGCCCGCGACCTCGACTCGAAGAAGAAGCAGCTCAAGGCCCGCGTGTCGACGGCGAACCTGGACAAGATCCTCGCGGACCTGGGCCAGGTCAAGCAGGAGAACGCGGGCCTCGTCGCCCGGCTCCGCGCGACGCGGTGACCGCGCGCTAAGATGGCCGACTTCGATCTTACTTCCCTCGCTTGTTTGACACCCCTAGTTGTCGCCGAGGACGCGGCCGCCGCCCCAGTTGTGGCCGCCGCGGGGCGCCGCGGGCGCCGCGGGCGCGCCGCGGCCCGGCGGCGCTGTCGCCTGGTAGCCCGCGCCCCGCGGCGCCGCGGCGGCGGCGCCGCCGCCGCCGCACATGCCGCAGAGCCACTGGGGCGTGACGACGACGTCGACGCCGTAGGTCTCCGGCACGACCTCGATGGCGAAGTAGTAGGCGTGGCCGCAGGCGACGCCCATGAGCGGCACGGTGAGCGGGTTGCCGATGAGCATGTTGAAGGCGAGGAGCGCCCAGGGCAGGTAGAGCGCCTGCACGGGGAAGCCGTAGAGCGACACCTGCGTCGCCGGGTTCCGCCGGCTCCAGACGTAGAGCACCATGAACGTGAGGCCCTGCGCGGGCATGACGATGGAGAGGAGCGTGCAGAGGCCGCACATGAGCGCGGACCCGAGGCAGAGCATCCAGACGTAGTCCGCCGTGTCGCCGCCGCCGCCCGTGTTGTAGGGGCTCACCTCGTAGTTCTTGC